AGTTGATGAGACAAAACATGGTGTCTCTTTGACAATAGTTGATGAGACAAAACATGGTGTCTCTTTGACAATAGTTGATGAGACAAAACATGGTGTCTCTTTGACAGTAGTTGATGAGACAAAACATGGTGTCTCTTTGACAATAGTTGATGAGACAAAACATGGTGTCTCTTTAACAACGTAGTTGATGAGACAAAACATGGTGTCTCTTTGACAGCAGTTGATGAGACAAAACATGGTGTCTCTTTAACAACAGTTGATGAGACAAAACATGGTGTCTCTTTAACAACAGTTGATGAGACAAAACATGGTGTCTCTTTAACAACAGTTGATGAGACAAAACAAGCATTGATCTCTCTTTACAGTTTGTAGTGATGACTTAACACATCGCATGAAAGGTAATACTGTTATGAATGAATGGGAACGATATGAAGGTGTTAGACACTGTAGATATGTAGATGAAGTACTTTCAGATGCACCATGGACTATTACACCAGAATTCTTAGAAAAACACAAGGTGAGCATATTGTACAATCTGTCTGAATGTTTTCTTTGTATGTCTTGCATTGCACTGCATGCCTTGTTCTATTCTCACGTCCAACAAATCAATTGGTTAATATTATTTAAGGTATCAATTTTTACTAATCAATGAAGTACAGTAGTTTTTACCCACAGCCTAGTCAGGGGGAGGGGGTTATATTGGTTACCCACATTCATCCCTCCATACGTTCATATGAAGCGCTGTAGCAGATAGAAATTCTCACTATGTTATATTGAAGATATTGCACACTAGATCTGATCAACATATTTAATGGTCATGTAAACTCATTGTTTTATGTTAAACAAAAGTGCTAAGGGAAAAAATGTGATCTCCATCTTCAAAGTTAGGTACTCAAATTTTAGAATTGTGACTCCCTTCCCCAGGGTGGATTACATGGAACCAAGGCATTGTTCTTATACTATAGAATAGAATACTGTATTTATTTACATTCAGAAATACACAAGACTGTTTTCCTGCTTAATATCAAATGGCTCAAAAATTACACTAAAAATGAAACAAAACTCTATATACGATAATAAACTGAAACATTTGTGTGTGCACAAGTAGCTGTTAGATCTATGTTATGGGATGATTATGATTCAAATGATTCTTAGAAGTGGTATGGTATCCATTCAATATGTCAGAAACACTTCATGTATACACCCTGCTATTACCAATAGGTGATTTCCTGCTCTCCAAAAGATAATTTGATTCTGAATTTAGATTTGGCAATATACCATGTAATATCAATTTTTATTTTCATGTCACGTGACCAAGTCTCAACCAATCACAGCATGCGTAACAGCAGTGAGATGTGATAATCAAGTATCAGGTTCTGGATCTATATCTCCGATATGTTTATGTTCCAACTAATTTTACTATAAACAAACACTAAATTTGATAATTAATGGGGACTGTGTCATGCGATATTTGGACATTACAAAATGCTGGAATTTATCGATGTACTTAACTAATTCTAGATGTACCAGGGTACTTTAATATATAACTGAATTGTGGACATGCTAATTTGAGATTTCTTTATTCAGATTGATTTTGTGGCTCATGATGACCTTCCATATAGCTCCACAGACTGTGATGATATTTATAAAGATATTAAAGCAGCTGGTAAATTTGTTCCAACTAAACGAACTGAAGGTATATCAACTTCAGATCTCATAGCACGTATTGTGAAAGACTATGATGTATATGTGAGACGTAATCTAGCCAGAGGTTACACTGCAAAACAACTCAATGTTGGATTTATTCATGTAAGTATAAGTTTTCAAGTTATACAGCCTAAATTGTGGCAAACAGGCATTGACACTTTAATATAAATATTAATTAAAATAAGGTAACCTAAACACCACTTAAACACTGTTGATATCTAACCATTTCAAGTAGTACTGGTACATTTCAGCTATGGGATATCAAGCTTGATTGTCTAACACTCATAACTACAATTGACCTCGCACGGCTCAGATTGCCACTGGTTTTCTGAAAGGAAGAATTTTATTTTT